TGATGAGTGTACCAACAGGAAAGATCATTGTGCATGATCAGGGTGGTTTTACATATAATTATGTAATATACATGAAATTATAAAATTCATCACAATTCAAGGTTGGATAAATAAATGTCACAGCACTTTTACACTTACCTAACGCTATTCTTGCGTCATAAACATTATTCAAAGGAATTCCCAAAATGTTCTCAAGTGTTAGAAAAACAAAGTATGAGAAGACAAAGAAAATGATCAACCAGTTCAGAGTAAACACCTCTTCATACACTGCTCTCTTGAGAGTTTTAAAGTGATGTTTGACGCTGGCACGGATTTTCTTATAATTTCTATAACACAATGGAACGACATTACATACAACCGTTACAATGGCAAGAATTCCGGAAATCACAAACGCAATGATTGGATATGCCTGGAATGTGAATGGAATAAAGTTTGTCGAAAAGTAGTCACACTTGAATCCGAACCGACTATCTCCACAAAAACAAATCCAAGGATTTAAAGTCTTTCCTTCCAACAAGGACTCTCCATGAATGAGAGGTTGATAGAAGGATCCGTCGGGAACTGGCTGATTATAATTACAGAAATCATCATGAACATATTGGAAACAAGTGGTCGTGTTGGCAGCGATTGCAAGTTGAGTGTGAAATTCCACAAAATCATCGCGCTGACAATATTGACAGTAATTCATCATCCATGCAAATTCTCCAACAGCAGTCTGTTTATCCCTAGGATTTGAAATACCATACGTCCGATTTAAATACGTAATTGAAGAGTTACTCAATCGAGGGAAATTATTACAATATAAACTCAAACATGAATCAATCGAGTACTTTTTAAACAAAGCAGAGACACTCTTGGCATCACACACTTCATAAAGTTTTGTATCAAAAAACGTATAGTACAGAGTAAATGGAACACTCTTTTCATATCTGAAGGCAATCGTACTCTCATTATAGGTTTGAATGGAGGTACATGAAACTGCCGTCTCTTGCTCCACTTCTATTTTGATCTGTTTACAGCCTTTCCAGAGTCCTGTATTCGGTAATGTGTTCTGAGCCAAGATGGTGGTGGAAGAAAGGAGTGTAATCGTTACTATCATGAAGAGAAGAATAAATTGGAGTTGAGAAATGATTCTTGTTGTGTTGGTTTTCCCTTTCATCATCCGATGAACACAACAAAAGGATGATAGCGGTCCCGATGATGATTTCATTCTTTTCTATATATTCAACTAAAATTTGTACAGAATAAATAAAAACGCTGATGATGCAATCCTCAGAGATCTCTCTTTTTTGATGATCACTATGCTAATAATCGTTTCAGGTGATGGTGGTGATGGTGGTGGACGATGAGAACTCTGAGCGTTCGGAAAAAACTCCAAAATGGCAGCACGCGCGTGCGGAAGAAACGAAATACTTTTTTTTTGAGAGAGGTCAAAGCTTTGACTCGCCAAAGAGAGTTCGAAACAGATCAATGATCAAGTCTTTATTTAACATGTAATAATTATCAAACGATGGATGGTTCTAAACAGATAAAGGTGGATCTTCAATAAAAAATTTAAACGCTTCGAGTTTGGAAATATTTGATATTTTAATAGAGTCTCATTTACGACGAGATAAAAGTAGGAGGAGAGAGTCACTGCAGCATCGATGCTGATTGAACAAACGAGCACTTTGGTGGGGGGAATGAAAGAATCGACTTCCTTCCACTG